TTTTGCACTTTGAAGACTCATCGTTGTAAAACCCATTAAAGATCTTTCTTATGTGCTCTTCTACTTTTATTATGTTCTAGTCTCTTTACTACAAAACCTTCTTATGTTCATACAGTGTTTATGCTTTTCTTGTATTTCTCCAGTTTTTGATTAAAAATCCCCACCTTACACTTTGTGTCAGTAATGAGGGACAAAAATTCACAGTCCTAGTTTTAGCACTTAGGCATATTACGCTGATATCTTCCGAAGTTACACCCATTTTAAAACAGAATTTTCCCACTTCACTTTGCTCCACTGCATCATGTATGCTTTATATTCCTGCTGCTAGCACCATTTAAAAAAATTACTCCACTGATATTGCAGTAATATTTCATCCGTGTTCTTCATGACAACCAATACTAGATTTTTCCAACTTATTTTAGGGAGTAAAAAAATTCTGCTGTTGATATATCAGGTGACATTTTTTGTGTTGAGCCAGTGTGCTACTAGTACAAGTCCAAAGTAGAAGTAGATGAAGAGGGTTTCATCAGGAACGGCATGTGGAGTAAAATCGTAGCTAAATTGAACACGCTGATCATAACAATATGAGATTTCTCTACCAGATCGGTTGGGCTCAGGTTAACAATGACTGCCTTTGGTGCTGTTGGCAAACAGGTCGCCAGTGGAAACTGTGCTACTATTGGCTGCGGACAAAGGAAGAGGAGGATGCTATGGCAACCTTAAAGAGAGCAGCCGAAAGTAGAATCTAATATGCAGAGAGATCTGGCAACATATCATCCCCATGCTGGCTCCTGGTCAAGTCACACATCCTTCTTCTCACTTAGAAATCCCTCAATTCCCTGACCTGTCAGTACCTGTTCGACCTCCTTTAACCTGGCATACAAATCTAAGTTATTGTAACTACTACTTTTTTTTATTAAGAAGAAGAAAACATTTCCATATCTCCATATAGGTCTTCCAACTAAAAGTCAAAGCTTAAAAACATCACTAAGATCAACAGTTTGATTAGGATTCTTGGAGTCAGTTTGTAATTATCCAAGATGCTAAACTCAGAATGATACTCTTGATAGTAGACAGACCCTCCCCTTTAGCGAATCTGCGTGTGCATTGTAGCTTGTATCTGCTTCCACTTAATATTATGATATATAACATCTTCTTTCATTTCAATGTTCATGATTTGTAACAATTATCTTGCCATATTTCCTATAGCTTCTACTAGGCAGGCTTGCAGACATTAAAGGTTAGGTTACTAAGCAGTTTAGATCATTTCATCTCATGCTCTGGGTGTTAGTTTCATGATGAGCTTTGCATTAATAAACAGATTTGTTCTGTTGTCAAAAATAGCTACTATCAGTTTAAGAAACATAACAAAACAGAAATCTTTTCTGTTTTTCATGGTCTGGAAAAAGCAACTAGGTTTCCCCATGTTTCTCATTTGCTGCAGCTTCTTCAAAAGCATTCTGCAGCAAGACTGCAAAAGCATATGAGGACATCATAGTCGTGGCATAGCTATATTGTCTTCCTGTCCATTTTAAAATTCAGTTTAAGATATTACTGATTTTTTTTCATGCTCATAATGGATAGGCCCCAGTTTATATCATCAGTCTTATGATATAAGATTTACATTAATCTCTTAGGTCTCTCAGACCCACTGGTACACATCTCTTACATGTCCCAAGGGCACCCCTCAGACAACAAGGCGACAGAGCCTTTGCGGTCACTGCTCCATCTTTGTGGAATCAGTTTCTCTGCTCTTAAGCCTAGGCTCAAAACCCACCTTCATTCTCTGATTCTCTGGCATTTCAGCCTACTAATCTCACATTTACTGTTGCGTCTACTCCCAACCGGTCGCGGCAGATGGTTGCCCCTCCCTGAGCCTGGTTCTGCCGGAGGTTTCTTCCTGTTTAAAGGGAGTTTTCCTTTCACACTGTTGCCAAAGTGCTTGCTTATAGGGGGTCATATGATTGTTGAGTTTTTCATTATAGGGTCTACCTTACAATATAAAGTACATTGAGGCGAGTGTTTATATATACATATATGTATGTGTGTGTGTGTGTATAAAAAGCTGTGTTTAAATGTTTAAATGTTCTTTGTAAAAAGATTTCACCAGCTTGAACATTAAAGTCTTTCTTTATTGGCAAATATGGGCCAATCATAGCTGTCAGCTGATATTATAGTTTGTACTCTAATGAAAAGCAGATCCTGTCCAGTAATTTATCTGTAACCAATCTCAGACCACACTGTATATTTCTTTCTTTTCTTTTTTCTTTTCTTTTCTTTTCTTTTTTTTGTTGTTGTTGATGTATTGTTGCATGAAACTTGCTTGTCTTTATTTGGAGATATTAATTGGATTCCCTCTGTGTTTAAATGGAATTGTGAGCAGCTTTTGTTTTAAAAATGATCCTCACTGTTGCGGTCAAGGATGCTCCGAACTCTGAGAGAGTCAAATAAGTATAAATCAAGGGCTACAGTACTTCAAAAGTGAATGACTATTCTCTTTGTTAAGCAGTCTGGTAAGCTTAGGTCCTAACTTTTCTGTTACTTACACTCTGCAGTGAGTGAACCCTTAAAGGATTTCTCCTGTGATTCTCCTGTGTTAGGAAGGCACTAATTCCCTTGCGCTCATTCATCGAAAGCCACAAGAACGTAACATATGGATGACACATGGAGGTCTGCAACATGTTTTTTCATGCCAACACTCAAGCGGCGAGGCAAATGCATACGCGCATTCACCACATCATATTGTCTGTTGTGGGCAGATGTTGAACTCGTGTGTTCAACTGAGTGCATAGACCTAATTAAGACTGTAGAAACACATCATTTTATTTGGCTCTCTCTCCTCTTTGTCCTCGCTTTGATCTAGTGATTATTACCAGTTCATTGGCTCTGTAGAGGACTGGAGGGTGGGGAAGCATTGTGTCTCATGCTGATAGCTCCCAAACAAAATAACCCCCCTACCCGGGTTGTTACAGCTGAAACTCCCAGCTGGGTTGTCAGTGGTGAGGTCAGTAAGAGGATCCAGCTGCCTGCTGAGGTTTGTTCCTCTGCTGTGGATTAGCACCAGCCAAGCATCTGCTAATGTCCTGGAGAGTAATACAGCACATGTGCTCACTGTATGTACAGTACATGGACACTCTCATGTTTGTTTGCACAAATACTGAGCACAAATACAGATATGTTCTCATCAACACAGGAGGGGGTGCACACAGTTTTTTTGGCTCGTTGATTTCTTTCTGCATGTGATCCACAGCACCCCAGCTGAGTATCCTTTCCTCCACCAGAGAAAAGCCTAGTGCTCAGGAACCTCTCTAGGTGGGGTGAGAAAGGCAGCCAACATCATAATAAGGCTGTGATGGTATTTTCTTTGTCTTGCGGTAAGAGGAGAGCACAACCCAGAGGTTATCTGGTGTACTCATGCCATAATCTCACCCTGTTGGCTCATAAAGGCCACAGGAGGCTCTTTAGGATTGTGGGTTTTTGTTTCAAGAGAAGTTGGACTTAAACTTTGATTCTACAAGTAGCTACTAGGAACAGCACAAAGCATCTAAAATCAAAATGCTGCATTTTAGTGTGTTTTAAAAATGTATAGATTTGACAAAATATAACCATTAATGTCTCCACAAAATCTGACATCTTAGGTGTGTAAAACAAACATGTTAATCACTATACCACAGAGCCATTAATGCTAAAAAATAACCATAGACTTAAAGATGACCAATGTGAAAGTGCCTTAAACGTGCATCCTTTCTGTTATCCAGTAGGGGGCTCTGGCTTTTAAAAAGAAGTCAAACTGCGTAGAAGTCTATGAGAAATTCTCACTTAATCTATAATCTCAATTAATAGTTTATGGTCCCAATCACCAGATTTAAGTCTTATATGATAAAATATGATGTGCATATTTGAAATTATAACAAGCATATCATTATAACTAGTGATATGCTAATTGCTTATTGGCTGTCCTAATGGTGATTAGGACCAAAATTCTCAAGTTAGGCTTAAAAATATGACTTCACCAACTCATGTGTGATGTCTGTGTGATTCTGCCGGGAGCTATAACTTAACATAAATGAAATGTAAACTGAGTTTGCTACCAGCCATGTAGCCTTATTGTTGACAGAGATACTGTAAGTAGATGCTTTGTCAAAATTAGAGGAAAGAAGGTGGCAGGTTCCTCATTTCCACACTATTGCAATTTCTTCTGTTTCCAGTGAATAACAATCAAATTCCATCCTGTATTTTCTACCCGTCTTTGTGTCAAATAGACAATCCTTATACAATATTAAGTGGGTTGGTAACAGCTTTTCTTTTATGATAAAAAATCCTCTAAAAGGCAAAATGTCTTGATAATAGTAAAACATGCAGGACTCACTTACACTGAAGCATTAAACTAGCATGACTGTTGGGTCATAGGTTATTTTTGGTTTTAATTTATAGGTTAAAAATAAATGAACTGTGATGGTAGACTGAGTTTTACAAGTATCTCGATACACCTCTTCATTTTATTGAATCTGTATTTTTATTCTCAGTGCTGACTTATACTTTTTGCTCATTTTTATTAATTGTGGTTATACCTATATGGTTCCTTCATTTAAAGCACAGTGTTATTTATTCCCAGTCGTTAAAAAAAGAAAAAAAAAATCAACTCATGACTTGCTGTTGTCTGCAATGTGTAAACTAATTATTGTTCCATTTGTTTCACATGGAATGAGTTATTGATTGATATTGAATGCGTCTTCATGGTGTTGGGAAAGTGAATTAATAGAAAACGTCACTTCGGCCTCTTTTGAATGTGTTTTTTTCCCCTTCATGCCTTCTTCTCGAATCAATTTATGCTATCCTAAAGCAGTTTAAAGTTTTAAATCAAACTGTTTATCTTCCATGCAGGTTTGGCTGTGGTTGAATGGCTTAAGACATTGAGATTGATTTTTTTTTTTTTTTTTTTGGATGAAGCCCCCAAGGGTCAGTGCTGAATGTTTGTTGTCTTTGTTTATCCTTTCTAGGGGGCTCTTTGCAAGTAACTATACAGAAACCCATTACCTGGAAGATGGCAGCGCTGTCACAGGCGTTCACAACTTCACGGTATGTTTCTTTTTATTTTCTGGGTTTGTGGGTGACAAAACAAAGTGATTGAATTTCGAACATTGTTACATTTTCTTCTATGTTACCTGCCCAGCAGCTCATATGAATGTTGACCTTTTGTGAAACTCTTCCTCTGGATAGACTCTGCTTCGCTGTGCTAATATTAGGGTCCGTGAGAAAGTAAAGAACACTTGATATAGCAGTTAGAACCGCTTTTAAAACCACCTGGAATTGTGCAGTCGTGCGCACATAGAGGACAATCCAGGTGAGTGGGGCCATTTTCAGCCGACAGATTCATATTTGATGAAATGAGAAGGCAGATAGAGGTCAGAAAATGCACTCTGTTTTAGGCAACAGCTCAGATTTTTCTTTTTTTTTTAATGGATTCGATCAAAACAAATCCTAAAGAATTGTTTGTTGTGAAGGAATCGAAGAAAGATTGAACTGGTGATCATCTAGGTGCAATCTGAAAGCCACAGTGACCATGAAATATTAAGCACTTATCAAGCATTCATGAGGTTCCCACTTTGAAAATTAAGAATATATAGATATGAAAATATATCTCTAAAGTATAACAAATCACTTGTAAATGTTAACCATGAAGAAATCAATTTAGACATAAAGGGATTACATAGAGAAAAGCAAAGCTTCTGGTTGGTTGCATGATGCTCCCGTATGAGGAACACACTGTCTGCCAGTTCAAATTTAAACTTTACTTCAGCTGTGACTAAAATATTTTGACCGTTAGATACACAGCGTGTCTAGTGTTCACCAGACAGAACGTTTTTCTTTGTCAGTGCAGCTTTACTTCCTCTAACTTGGCTGTGTTGACTATGTGTGGTTTGATTGTATTATTTGAACGTGCATGTGATGTGAAAAACAGCACAACAAATAACAGTCAGGACTACATGCGAAACAGCAGAGCAAAGCATGAATTTGTCTGCACTGACACAGACAAATGTTTTCTTACACGAGCATATGGCCGGACAATCTGTCAAACAGCTTTGCTACAACTGAGGTAAACACTCACCAGCCACTTTATCACATACACCTTGCTAATACAGCCTTGGGCCTCCTTTTGTCTGCTTAATTCTTAATCTGCAGAGTCAATAAGATGCTGGAATCATTCCTCAGAGATTTTGGTCCATTATTGACACGATAGGATCACAAAATTGCTGCAGATTTGTTGGCCGTGATGCAAGTCTGCTGTTCCACCACATCCCAAAGGTGCTCAATTGAATTGAGATCTGATGTTCATGGAAGTCATTTGAATGCAAGCAACTCATTTTCATATTCAAGAAATGATTTTCGAGATGGAGCTTTGTGACATGGTGTGTTATCAGAAGTTAGGTACACTGTAGTCATGGTCAGCAACAATGGTTATGGTCAACAAAGGATCCCAAAGCGTTCCAAGAAAATATCCCCCACACTATTACACACCATCATCGGCCCGAATTGTTGATATCAGGAAGGTTGGGTCCATGCTTTCATGTTGTTTACACCAAATTCTGAATGTTGCGGCAGAAATTGAGGCTTGTCAGACAAGACAATCTTTTTCCAGTCTCCTTTTGTCCGGTGGTTTGTAAAATTGTAGCCTCAGTTTCTTGTTCTTAGCAGACATGCATGATACCCAGTACTGCTGTAGCCCGTCTGCTTCACAGTTCAACATGTTATGCAGCAGATTGTCTTGACCATGTCTAGATACCTAAGTGCAATGAGCTCCTCCGTTGTGGCTGGATGATTAGACATTTGCAATAACGAGCAGTTGAACAAGTGTGCCTAATAAAGTGGCCAGTCAGTATTAAAAACAGAAAATAAATGTTTCTTCATATCCGACACAGAAGGCATGATTGGGAACATATCCTTGGCACAAATGAAACCTCATAGAATTGAAGTACCTTCTTTGTTCTTGGCTTCAGTGCTGTAATAAATATTGTTCATATTCATTAAGCTCAAATAGGTTTTCTCCAGCAACATTTGTTCTGCTTTTAAATGCTGCCGGTCTCTCAAATTTTCTATGGATCCATAAATACTCTAAAATATTACAAATGGATGTAAATAAAATATTCATCTTTTGAAAAGGTTTTTTTTTTTTTTTTTTTTGAGGTTCAGAAAAAGAAAGGCTATTATAGCACAGAGTAATGAATGAGTTTGATGCTGCTGAACCATGAGGAGCAGTTTCAATCCCTATGAAATAAAACTGCCACCAGCTTGCTTGATTTCAGGGATTTGATTATCAGCAGTTTGGAAAGCAATTTAACGTTGCATTTTCATTTCGATAACAATAAACGGTCTATGAGGTCTGTGTGTAAAAGGCAGACTTATAGCTGAAATGCACAAAAAGATGAGATTATTATATTCGGTAACGTCCAACCCACACAGCAAAATGATTTTCCACTCGAGACCAGAGTTGGGTCATCCCTGGCAGGACTTGGCCAGCTCATCAGAATTGCTGCCATTCCAGAGCACAAAGACAATGAAGGAGTTGTAGTGGAGTGTGAGATACAGAGTCCGCAGCTGTGGGTGGATAAATAGCTTCCCATTTTCCATAGCTATCCATTAATTAAAAAAGCTGCATAATGTTTATGTGGACAGAAAGAGTAACAATGATCATAACAATAAAAATGACACAAAGAAAATAAAGAATAAATGTCTATGTTACAAGTTTTGTGTGACTACAGCCGATATACAAATAAAAACTTGGGAGAATGGATGAAGCCAGACGCAGGAATGTGGCATTTTGCCTCATGTTTGCATTTCTTTTGTGGAGACTTTTGTGGAGTCTGCAGTAGTTGATTAAAAGTGCGGACACTTCTGACCTCCGTCCCTTCTCTCATTCCTCGCTCATGACCACAGCCAGTTCTTCATGGGAGGATCTTTTTACTGGAAACAACCAGATCATTCGAGACTGATCTGTAGTTAATTTATTTGTCCTGCCGGCAGGGAGGAGACTGATATAGTGATCTGGGCAAGGGATCTTGTGGGTTCAGTTCTGTGTCAAAGGCAAGGTACTGCTGGGAGTGACTTGAGTATGAGTCAGCTCTCCCACCATCGTTCCCATTATCTGTTTTACACAGTCTCCCTTTCTCACTAAATCTAAGTCCACGTACAATCCAATAAATACATAGCATGTAACAAAAGCCATCTACTGGGAATATGAATGATTTCCATGGTTATTAAAGCAGTAACAGAATAATAAGATTGTGGTTATAATAAACAATGTAATGTTCACACCCAGGATTTCCACCCACAATAATCTGGATTCTGGTTATTAATCCTCTGTATTTCAAATATGAATGCATAAGCACTTTCCTGTCTTCCTGCAGAAACCTTAGGAACAAAAAGTCTATTCATATCCTTTATATCAATGCATCATAGTCATGATCTCATCAAAGAAACATGAGGTGCGAGCATTAACTGAGTGTACTAAATCCAGCCCTACTCCTCTCTGCTAAACTATAATTTCATATTTCATGTAATGTGCTTTCCTGTCCCTGCACCTTTTTGCCCGACTATAATGGATTGCTCTCTTTTTTGTCCAGTCCACCATCAGAAAGTGTCCGCATAAAAGTTTCCAAGGTTTCGGTCCACTTCTCTTGTGAAATACGCTGCACAAAAGTACCGAACCACCTACGCTTTACACCTACAGGAGCTGCTCTGCCATGGAAACCAATGCCATGAAGCTCCCAGTGGACAGTTTTTGTGTTGCACTGCAGTTGATAGTGAAATATCTAGAAACAAAAGAAATCTCCTGAGCCGACTTGCTGCACCAGTGGCATCCTAGTAGAGTGCCATATTTGTGAAGAATGACCCGTTCTTTCGCAGGTGTTTCCAAAAGCATGCTAGCTAGGTGCTTGATTTTACACACCTGTGGCCATGGGGACTGAAAACACCTGAATTCAAAGATTGAGAGTTATCCAGATAGTGTTTCACAACTTTATTGTCTTTTTAATACTTTGGAGGCAGCAGAACAACTCGTCAACTGGCATATAACATATCAGAAAAGAAATTACCTCCACCCAATAGATATTGAACAACATTAATATTCATGAGATGCTTCCTTGCAACTCAGTGTTTATAAGCCCAGTGAAAAACAATGCTTAAACCTAATAATTCATGGTGATTTTGTCACTGCGTCTAACCCCTCTTAAAGAGTTAGTTGCATATGAAATATTCATGAATGTAGTTAAAGGGATTGAGTGCATTTTACATGTGTCAACCAAAATTAAGGTGATGGTAAGACTGAAAGATGCTATTTGGTAAGCCCTTTTCCTCTAGCTATTCGGAGAAGTGTGATATTAATTGGATTATCATAACAGAATTACTGCTAAAAGTGCTGGGATTCAGTATTAAGCAAGGATTGCCTTTAATGCCAGAAACCCACTGAGACACTTGGCATGCAAATTCAGCTGCCTATAGAGAGTAACCACCTCGAAGAAGGCCAGACATCCAAATTTACTGCCTGAACTCTATATTTAGAGGCAGTCAAAGTGGGGTGGAAAACTCACATTTCCTTGTTTTCCAGAACAGGGTGGCAGAAGGACCTCACCTGAGCAAGGCTGTCTAGCTGTAGCAGAAGGCCTGTTTTCACTCTAAACCAGACACTTCCTCCACACCCTCTAGGCCTTGTTCAATAAACACAGGCTTAATTCACTTTCTTTACTCCCTGCTGCAGCTTGACAGGTGGTCCGTGAAAGTGGGTACCTGGGAATACGGCAGAAAGCAAAGCTTGTGCTGGGAAATGTGGAACTCAGATTTCAACCATCATTAGCCTGTGGTGATGAGCAGGAATGGCTTTTGCTAAGCTGGCAAAATACTATTCCCTTATAGTTAATTTACTCGTATTTCACAGTTACAGTGTAACACCTGGGGCTGATTGGGGTGAACTCTGCTTAAAACCCGACGCCTGTTTTGTTTCACACGCTGCTGCTCTATTCCTTCTGTGTTGAGTTTAAAATCCTATTGTTTTGTTTGTTTTGTGCTCCCTCAGGCAAACTGCTACTACCATGGTAAGGTGGAGGGTCATGACAATTCGGATGTGAGCCTCAGCACTTGCACTGGGATTAAGTAAGTGTGCCAGGCGCTAGTTTGTTTCCCATTTTTTCACATGACACCACTGGTGTAAAAGCTTAGTGATACATTCAACAAGCTAACCCTGATCTCTCTGCTTTGGGACCTGTAAAAGTTTATACTGTAGTGCCAGGTGTCGCTAGAACGGTACATAGTGTAGATTTAAAGTCACTTAAAATATGCATAAAATGCAATATGCAAATATGCAAAATTGCTTATCATAATATAATGTTCTATACACAGTTTGATTGCTTTAATTTGTTTTTGTTTTTTTGTTTTTTGTTCTCCACATTGCCAAAAATCCCTCAGTAGCAGTTTTCTATTACATCTGAGTAATAAAGTGGTAATAGTAGGGTAACAAACAGCGTAGTTTAGCGTAATAGCTTGGTAACAATTTGATAAGCTGCTAGAAATAAGAAGGTAATGTCTGTGAGTTTGAATTTTCACATAGTTATAAAATTGTAATAACCTCATAATAATAAGGTAATATCTGTTGATGTTTTAGCATACAGTATTTGGATAGCATTACTATATTATAATGTTTAAATTAATCCTGCCTTAGCTTCCAAGCATTCTGCTTTGCTTAAAAGCAAATATGTAAATATTATGTTTAATGCTCTGGATTATTAAATGGAAACATCAGCATATTTTATATCTGGATGACAATAGATAACATGTTAGGAAAGAAAGAAATATTTAAAATGTCCAATACACAAAAATAAGACGTCATCCATGTTCTCCCGCTCATCCAATTCAGTGTTGTGGGGGGTGGGGCCGCATTTGTCACCGATTAACCTCTAACCATCCAAAGATCCAGCCTCTCCTGCAGCAAGTAGCACCAAGCCGACAACTTGTATACTGACAAATTTGAAGTTTTGAAGGAAGAACAATGGTAAAGCAAGCATGATGTAATTGACAGTTCTTTGAGTATTGTCTTATTTAAAAAGATGCACTATTATATTTTGTGTATAGAGTAAAATAATTAATTCATCTTTTTCCTATTATGCCCAAAATGACATATTGGAACACGTTATTAATGTCTGTCATTAGAAATAAACCACTACTAAATTCACTTGGGGTGGATAGCTATATTCTGAGTACACCACGCCTCTAACCCCCTCAACTAAACTGTTGAAGCTGGAGTGGTACATTTTGGGCGAAAACTCTTAATAACATTGGCCAAGTTTTAAACAAGCTCCCAGTTTAGCTGCACACATCAGCTTCCAGGTAAAATTTGGGCTGTGCACAAGTTTTTGTCTGTGCAAAGAGGACAGTTACAACCAATAGTTATGATGCATTAATGGCTTTACTCCAAGTTTTAATGGTTTAGATTATGGCTAATTTGTTGGTTTGTTTAAAACCTCTCAGGCTGCTTAATTTGTGTTAGTAAATACTGAATTTTCTGCAAACCATGCAAACCAAGGTAAAACCCCATGTATGTAGTACGGTTGCAAATCTTTAAACCTGACATTCATTAAGGTTTTTAAGAACGTGGAGGATTTCAGTGTTGTCGAAGCGCACTGCAAATGTCAGTGAGGAGTAAGGATTGCAGCAATATCACTGGACACAATCAGGAATGTTTTCGTGAAGCAGCCAGATGTCGACACCCTCTGCAGAGGGATATGCCTGATTGTGAAGCTCATTCTGCTGACCTCAGTCTTGATATTTATTCATTTATTTCAGTTATTCTTAAACCTGTCTGCATAATAATAACAGATCACCAGAACAGTTTTGACAAGAAGCTACACAATTCTTGACCTGCTCACAGAGACAAATAGCTCCCCATTTGTGTTTGCAGCAGTCAGGCTTGGAGTTGGTTCAGCACGAGTTTGGGTGATTGTGAACATTGTGCAAGGTTTACAGAATCTTACAGCTTATGCACAATGGGTACACTCATCGCTAATGACATGTCATCTTGGTCATCACGTTTGATTATTTTTTATTGCATTGTCGATATTTGCACCTCTGATAGCCTCTTCCTCGTTCTGCAGGGGTTTTATATCTCTTGGCGAAAGATCCTATGTACTGGAACCATGTGCTGATCGCTCTGATGGGACTCACTGGATTTACACAGCTGAACACCTCAATTTTGCTCCTGGCACCTGTGGCCATGATTTCAACACGACCTATTCATCTGCGCACACAGACGGCAGCCCATTCAAGGCTTTTAGCACAAGGGTAAGGATTATTAAACACATTTTTTTTTCTACAGCTAGTAAACTCTCAGTATGTAGTATGTGATTTTATTTTCATTCAACAAAGGTACACTCTCAGACTGGGTCATGGTTTGAACTTTAGATCCCTGGCCTTTCAACCTGTCTTTTTTCTTTCCTTTCCAAATAAGTCAGATCGTAAAATCAGGCAGAGCAGAGAAAAAGTTTTAGCTTTCAGCCTTCTTTGTAGTTTAAACATTTAACTTCAGTGAAACCTAAAGACGTAGCTTTAATAGGACTAACTATTTATACCTGGATAAATTATCTAGTAATGTACAAAAGTCTTGAGCCACTATCAATTTCTTTATGTTTTTTGGGGAAAATGGGATTTATAGGAACACATGTAAATACAGTATATAAGGCAAAACCAGAGTTTGTACAGTTCTAGTGAGCTTTCTAGTCAGTATTTAGTATGACTACCATTCTTCTTCATCATAGCCTGAACGCCCTTAGGTAAGCTTTCTTGCAATGTTTAGTCTAAGCTCTCCAGAGTTCTTGAAGGATAGTCGAACCTCATTTTTGGATGTCGGCTTCCTTTTGTTCCGCTTTCTGTCAAGATGATCCCACCCTGCTTCAAATATATTGCAGTTCAGGCTCTGGGGAGGCCAGTCAATAACCAGTATTTTTCCATTGTGTGTGTTATCTATCTATCTAGGTATGCTTTTACTGCATTGGAAGTGTGTTTGGGATCAGTGCTTTCCAGATGGTATTATATGGTGGATCAAAATCTGATGGTACTTTTTTGCATTCATAATTCCACCAATTTTCCTCCAATCTCCAGCACCACTGGCTGAAATGCAGTCACAAACTATGACAGAGCCTCCGCCATGTTTTTAACTTGTTTCTAGACACTCATTGTTGTACCTTTTCCTAACCCGCTCTACAATATTGAAGACAATTTGAACCAAAATATTTCTAACTTCCCGATAAAGATTCATCACTCCATAGTACCACTGATTTTCAGTGCAGTTAATGTGTGATTTGGCTACCTCAGACTTTTCTCTCAGTTTTCCTTCCGTTAGAATGGCTTATTTACAGCAACTGTTCATGCTGAGATCATTTCAGATGAAGCTTTGGTGAACAGTATGTGGATTAATTAAACGACCAGATGCATTTCTTAGGTCTTGTATCAGGTCTTTTTTTTAAATTTCTTTTCCCTTCCTAATGACATGACTTTTGGATGCGGTTCATCTGCTGTAGGAAACTGCTTCACTTGCCATCCACTGGTTCAGTTTCCCGAAATTGTTTTGAGGACACAATGAACACCATGCCAAGATATAAGTTTTTAGCTAATAGCTTTTGGGGAACCACCTTATTGGTCCAAAAGTAAATCAAAGATAATTATGTTATCTTTGGCGTTTTTTGTAGATTCAACCAAATAAATGGAAAGAAACTTAAAATGGGCTCTTTGCTAAGTTGTCTGCTATGTGTAAACACAACACTGGTTCATCCGTTGAGTCCGTTCAAGCCTTTTTAGGCTTGAATGATTCATAGGTCAGTGTTAAGTACGTTTTTCTGAACATGGTCAGGTTCAGCAAAATGTTTAGATGAGATAAAAGACCTTTGATAAGGCCTGAAGAACTGTTGCTAAAGACTACTTTAAACAATTAAAGAAGTCTGGCTCCTTGGAAGAAAAATATAAAGAAATAAGGGGTGATTTTTTTCCATAGCACTCTATGATATATTAACCCCTTTAAAAAAATGTCTCTCAAGTTCTTTTGTGCAGCCTCTTTATGGGACTGATGGTTATGACAGTATGCTAAAATTAGTAGTTAGCTATTAAATATGTCTTCACAGAGCAGCTACCACAGGCAAAACTCTCTCTGTTTCATAGACTTAAGAGAACATTACAGTCCCCAGTAAGAAATTAACACTTTCTTTTGTTTTTTTGTTTTTTCTTTATGCATTAAGGATGATATTATAATCACGTGAGGCTCTGAAAAAGATGTAAAGATGACCAGCTGCATCAACTAGCTATTTCAGTTTGATTTTCTGGACTTCAGACAATATAAAATGCAGAATTGAACAGTGCCAGGATATATATTTTTGAAGCCGATACTTGTTCTGACAGATGCTCTGGAGTGTGTTAGGAGAGCAGTTTTAAAAAAAAAAGCCTGTGAAAAAAGTACATTCGCTGTTTAGCAATAGCATTTGCTCTTAATGTGAGATGAAACTGCTGGGTTGTGCTTACGGCCTCCAGCAGGACCATCCAGAATTAAAGAGATTGCTTTTAAGAAACCCCATCCCACTCTGCCCCCTGCTACAACACTGAGCATAGAGATAAATCACAAGGGGCACGGCCCTGGGGAGTTTCTAACCTCAGAAAGCATAAGCTTTACAGATGATGAGCACTGATAAGTGAAAAACATAAACTCCAGTCATCTTTATCTTTGGGGTGAGGTAAAGCAGGAGTGGACAAACGTGGCTGATTAAGCAGATTAGTACAGGGAAGGACTCGGATATAGGTGGTGCATAAGGTGAAACAGATGTTCCAGTTGGAGGCTAAGCAAACATACTAAAATCATAATGCAGAAAAAATGTGAGGGACTTTCCAGGGCTTTAGTTAAAACTGATTTTTATTTTTGCAACCATTTCATTGAGATCAGTGTGGGACGCAGACCAAACATATGGGTATACTGGCTGAAACATCCTGTGTTTTCACATTGTTATATTTATTTATTTCTCCAGTATTAGGGATTTTCTGATGTTTTATTGTAGAGCTTGATATCTGCAAATAATTATAGCGCTGTCTTAGTGGCAAGCGTTGTCTTAAATCTTAAGAGGACTACAAAGATTAGGACAAATGAACAAACCCTGACAACAACGCAATTTAGAAGTTCAGATGGATTATGCCCGTGTGAAAAATGAACTTTTATTTGTTTTATTGGATCAAAATGTTCTCATTTAAAGCACTATGTCCCTAACACTCATTATATGCTAAGAGATGCCAGAATTAGAATGCAAATCATCTCCACTAAGATGCAGTTTATTCATCAGGATGTCGAATGTCGCAACCCCATTGTCAAGTTAAAAATGTGAAAACAGAGGAGACAATGTTTTAGACATCAATGTCTAACTAATGGCGAAAGAGTTTAGCAAGCAGTCTTGTTAATATAGCAAAGAGTATGGTAATAAACAGAGTTTAGTGTAGCAAAGAGAGAAGAAGTACATCAAAAAGCACAAAGTCTTATTTGCTGTACTTAGCAGAAGGCATGCAGGTTCATCTCAGCATGTTACACGGGGGCACAGAGGTGTGCACTGTAGCTTTGATGAACTGCAAAGTACCCTGCTTGAGGGTCTAAAGATTAAAAGGTGTGTTGACAAGAGTGCCCTTAGATGATGAACATCAGATGAGGCTGAAAAGGGTAGAGAGATATGATGGCTTGCTGAGAGGGACAGCACGTCTGCAACATGAATTCTAACAAGGACCCATGTTGAAAATGTGACTATCCATAATGACCATGATTTGAGTGTCTTGTCTTTCATGCTTGAAACAGATCATAGCACATGGATGAGTCATGTCTGAAGTGTGCTTTAATTCATATTAAAGAACTATGAGCTTATACATGCTAGCCTAAACTAATTACAGACATCACATCACCTCCTTTGGTAGGTTGAGGGTGTATACCACATCAGCATCTGCTGCCCTGTAGATGCATCCTTCTTTCACTCCATTACCTAGGTTGATTATCTAGGTTGAGTTTTTTTTCTGCACACCAGTGGAAGTTTCATCAATAAAGGGTGTGTCATGCAGATTTTCCAGATATATGTTAGATAAGATAGATGTTATAAATAGGATAACAGGTTTGTGTTCCACTTTAAATTAGCAGTGTTTTCCTCTTCCAATAGCAGTTTCAGTTTTATTTTGATAAAGATGCTAGAAAGTATCTTTTGTACATTTAGACCTATGACTCTAACTGACTGGATTCTCCTCCAGAACAACATTGCTCTTCACTGAGTTGAAAGAACAGTATTTGTGTGTATTTTCCCTCCCCAGTGGCCTCCTAGAGACTTAATCACCATAGGGTGTATTTAGAGCACACTTGCCCATCCTGGCTTATCTATGGAGGAGGCAGATAAGAGCAGAGAGGATCCAAGCTGCCAGGCCAGCAAGGATAAAGAGGCTCAGGTTGAAAGAGGGCCATGGTGTGAAGTCAGAACCTTTAGCTCGCAGGATCTGCAAGTGTGTGAGTGGAAAGAACAAGATTGTGTGCATGTGTGTACCTATATGCAGGTGAAACAGACTGTAGCGCCGCGTGTTGTATCAAGTAGTTGATGCCAAAGCATGTGATCAGTATGTACTTTGTGACCACAGGCTGTGAATTCGTTTACAATTGGATTTATAGAAGTTGCATCATCATCACAATGGTGATTTTATAAGTTTAATTTCATAAATACCATTAGATCAAAATTTTAATGAACCAGTTTATGCCCAAACACTAACGACATTCCATTCAATGTTTGTCAATTTACTGCTAATCAGCAGTAATGGTAATGGTAAATAACTTAAATAGGACTGGACACTCCTGTTTAGTATTAAAATGTCAGCCTAACAATTTTAGCAATAACAATTTTACCTTTAAAAATCCTCAGCCAGGCCATTATTCTTTATATTTTACTTCCAAGGAGTCAGACTCAAGTACTGTTTAATGCTTATTCAAGCATTAAAAACTGCACCTAATTTAAGGGATGACTCCAATGTTGTGTCTAGACATAACAGAGATCATTTCTTAAGGCATTTTGTTACTAGCAGCCTGTCACAAAACACACAATTTGTATTCTTTTTCTTTAGCTCAATCTATGAAAAATGCCAAAGGAATATAGGTTCACAGACATAAAGTAGCATTTTGTATTAATGAGGTGATTCCCAAGGAGCTATTAGCCAAAAACTTGGCATATCTGGGCATGGTGTGCAGTCTGTCCTTAAAAACATTAAGAAAATTGGGCAGAGTGGAGTGGAAGACCTAAACAACAATCTACAGCAGTATTTACTGCTCGCAGAAATCCACAAAGACCTGACAGAAAACGTTGATCCAGCATCTGTTGAATAAAGGTGATCAACTAAATATTGATTTTTAAGCCTTTTTTTCCTTATATTTTGTATTTCCATATACATTTATAAACGTTTCAGTTGCTGTACTTGTTTTTCTCATTTTCCTACCAAAACACAAAGAAATCAGGGGTGGCACAAGACTTGATGCTGTGTCTTAAGTATACTCGCTGCTGTAACTGATATTATTTCAAAAATTGTCATTTTAGTTTCACACCGTTTTCCTGTCTATTCAAAACAGGTTGAACACTCACAATCTCTGACCACACAAAAAAAGAGCTGAATATTCAGTAGCTTCCCTGCCCAGTGCCTTAACCCTCTGGGGTCGACGGACGCGCCGGCGCGTGGAAAACTGGACTGATACACCTCCTGTTGTCAGACCTGCAGGGTTAAGGCCTGTGGTATTCTCCTCTGTCTTATAATGGACAGAAACTCTTTTTTTGGAGTGGCACAAATATTTTGTGTGCCTTCTTATTTGATGCAGAACACCTGATTGTTCTGTAAATAGTTTTAAATGGTTATATAAAAACCGCCTGAGGCCTTGGCTGTAATTTTAGGTAAATAGTACCATATACCTTTGTTGTTTGCAAAACTTGTGCATAATTTTTAGAATTGTGCAATTTCTATTTGCATTTCAAGTTATGAAAATGATTCATTAGACATGTTTGTGGTTTTTACAGTAAAAATATACCTTTCTTCTACTAAGATTTTAAATTTTTTGTCTGAATTTAGATCAATTGTGCTAATATAGTATGTCAAAATGAAAAAAGAACTCCAATTTCAGATATTTGAGGTTGTGCTGAAAATAATGATACCAAACAAGGCAAGATAAACAGTTTTTAAAAGTGAAATATAAAGGTAAAATCAAAAGTAGTCAAAAACGGCCAATTATACCCTGGACCCCAGAGGGTTAAACCTGCATTCTTTATAATAACCATCTGGGGGAGAATCCTCTGGGTGCAAAAAAAAAAAAAAAAAAAGCTGGTAAAATCCCCATAAATTTGTCTGAAAATTTTATTTTATATCTATTTAGCAAATCAAAAATCTTTTTACGTTTTATAGAGAAAATCTATTCATTTCTTTATATTGTGTGCCAACAGACCATGCAGTACTGCACTAAACAAGCAATAGCGATTCGTTTGGAGTGTTATCAGATTTGTGTGACCTTAGTGGCTCTTACTGGGTCAGATGTGAAGCGTAGCTGATTGTTTTTTGCTGATTTTCATTTCTGCTGCCTTTTGTGTAGAGTGCAGTTCAGGTGAAAAGCCATCTCGAGTGGCCACCTGCTGAATTTAGGCTGCCCTTTCCAGAAAGCTGCAGTAAAGTGCTCCTTACTAACATCCTTCTCTCTCTACCCTCTCCTCCTACTCCTTTCTTCTCATCCCCTGGTTTATTGTTTTGTTATTTGCACCCTCCACCTCCTCTGTCATTTTCTTTTCTTGGATTCATATCTCCTGTTCCTCCATCTTTCATCCTTTTCTGCTTTCCATCCAACTGTTGCCTGTCCACTCCCTTTCATTTATCTCTTGCAGCATAAACGCCATGCCCAGACTACAACCAAGTATGTGGAGCTGATCATTGTGGCTGACAACCGAGAGGTAAGCAGAGGTCAAACGTCTCATCATCCTCTTCATCTTCCTGCTGACTTCCAAAGTAAAGAGGCTCAAAGACCAGATCCCAAGCTAGCTTCCTTCCTCTTGAGACACAGATAAGAAGGCGCCACCACTGCCTTTGTGTCAGCTCTGATGCGTCCACTCGCTCCCCCAATTCGCTCTCCAGCTCCATCTACATCCTGCTGCATACATCACTGACCACTTGACTCACAAATGAGACCGTTCCTTATGTGGGCTCTTAGACCTTTTAAGAAAGCTAAAAGAAGAAACAGTTTCTCACTAGTTTGAGACACATGGGTCAAAGTCACATGCTTTAGAGCCTGAATAAATTCTGAATATAATACAAAGCAGTTGAGGTTATCTTCTCAGCATAACCTTTACCGAGGAGCCTTTTGATGATAACAGCTACAGCAGCAGTGGCAAGAATGGGGGTTAGAGCGCACCCTATGAAGACATTTCTACAACTGATACAGTGTTACACTATAATGCGATATGTCCAAAATACTATCTTTGAGGGTAATAAGCATTCAAGAGGGCAGCACTTTGCTTCATTCTCTCTACTTGTATTGTTCAGTTTCAGAAGCAAGGCAAGGACATGGACAAAGTCAAGCAGCGGCTGGCTGAGATTGCTAATTACGTGGACAAGGTAACAATTGAATCCAAAGAGGGAATGCAGTGGTGGATTGTGATTTATTAGAGGTCACATTAAGCCTGGTGAGAATTGACCGACCTGCGGGCAGAGGTTGATTGGATTATGAATGGATGATCAATTTCATAACTTGGCTGAGCATTTTGTGATGCAGCCAGTTTAATAGATTGTGCCGTGGGTGGCTGTTAAACACAACAGAAGCAAAAAGCTGATTTATTCATATGGAGAGCCATACGCTGATAAATATTTAAGGACTTATACAGAGCCACTTTCGGTTTTAAGTGACTTTTTCTATAGCATTTGTGGTTAATAGGTAATTTGCAGTAAAGACAGTGGCAAAAATATTAAACACATCTATAATCGCATCCCTCTCCCTGCTTCCGACTCCAAACTGTTAGTTCTACAGGGCTCTGAATATCCGTGTGGCTCTCGTGGGGCTGGAGGTGTGGAGTGATGTGGACAAGTGTCCCATAACCCAGGACCCATTTACTACCTTGCACGAGTTCCTGGACTGGAGAAAGGTCAAGCTGTTGCCTCAAAAGCCACATGACAACGCCCAGCTAATCAGGTACTGTAGCATAGAGATGCAATGCCTGTGTTTAGGATAAATCCTTTGTATGAAAGGTTTTCTTTATTCGCAACTAAACAAAAGATGCTTAGTAGTACAGTTGATGGTTATTCTTTGGAGCTACCCAGTTTACTGGGTGGTGTAGAGTTTCTAAAATAAACACATGACTACAAAAAATTGAACTCCCACCTTTTAAAACATCTGCAAAACCCGTAGCGCACAACATATTTGATTTTTTTTAAATACACAACACAAAATTATAAAGTAAAATGTCATTTTTAACCATTATTTATAGCCTACATTGTCCACCAGTTACAGAACGACCCATCCTACGGTATGTGGGTAGATGCTAGCCACACAGACGCTGTCAAGGAGACATGATGGGTGTTTGGGTCTTTACACAGTTGTTACCCCTCTCATTTGGTAGATGAATGTTAACAAAACAACCACGGCTAAAAAAGAAAACATTCAGAGAACAATGGCTCTGTTACAGCTGCCAGTGAACCAAATGTTAACAGAAACATGAGGTGGAATTTTTTAACGAATATATAATTTTTAGTCAGTGGAAAGATATTAACAGTAGCAGTGTTACAGTAGTTGTTGGTCTGTCAGTAAAAGACTTAAAACTGTAAGGTGAGATGTGTGGGCATTTATCTAACATGATGTATAATTTCACACAGCTGCTAACTTGGCCGTATGCTCCCGATTTTGAATAAAGCTTCAGCTTATTTGGCATTCACGACAAATTAGAAGCAAATGAAATGCTTCCTGCCCCTTGTATGAAAGCCTTAATATATGTTTTTGAAATGCAGCTGCCAGAGCACATTTGCACTGGTGGACCCGCAGCAGTCTTCAAAACATCATCTTCTGTTACAGGAAACGCCGCATATTGCTAGTGGTCAGAAATCCTCAACGGCGCCTTTGATGACAGAAGTGTGAACACATGCATGGCTGCATATTTGAGCAATATAGTAACCACTGTGTTCTCATTTTCAGTGGGGTGTATTTCCAGGGAACCACTATTGGTATGGCACCCATCATGAGTATGTGCACAGCGGAGCAGTCAGGAGGAATCGTCATGGTAGGCTAATAAGTGTGTTTTTAAGAAGGGTATGAGGAGGGTATACATGGGAAATGCCACTGAATCGTATTTAATACATTTTAAGGGATCACACGCTGAATGAAAATGCAAGTCATAAATAATGAATCATTACAGAACTTTAATGTGTTGCATTAGCACAAGTCATCCTATTATTTCAGTCTTAAAGGCCTGGCTGGCTGGTTAGGTTTGGTCGCCAGATGGTTCTTCACTCTTGTCCTGCAGATGGTAAAGTAGGGAGTGGATCATTAGGATAGAACTGTGTACTGTATGCACACATACTTAAGGCTGTAGAAATGGGGATTAACCCCCAGCCACTGATGACTGTGTTTGACCGGGTTGTGTCTCTTCATTTACCAGCTACCTTTGAACTCATTAGTTAGGCTTTCCCTGTGGGTCTCATTGCTCTCTCTCTCAGGCAGTTAAATCTTAGACATGTCAGACATGAGGAATCTCAATTCACCAGCCCTAAATGTCATTTCATTTCATTGGTGTGGTGAGACGAAGCACAGACGGTTGCGTGACATGCCCTCCTGAGCTCCTCAGCCTCATCTGTTGGTAAATGAGTCTGAATGGGGTTTTTCCAGGAAACAGAATCCAACTTATTTGCATGAATCTGGGCTGCACATTTGGATTGCACTCAAAATAGCTGACTGTTTCTTTCAAAAGCCCCCAGCAGAGCAGTTCAGCAGCCTAAGCTTGATTTGCACAGTGCTACAAAATAACGTGCTGTGACGAGAGACTCCAAAAGTGAGGTGGTCTGACATGTACAGCTTTGCATCCATGATAGCCATCTACTGTATATTATTTATATGCCCTCTTTGTGTGTTAATGCTTTGAACACCTTGCAGAAAATCCCCAGCAAACATCAGGTTTCACTCTGTGTGCCACTGTAGGTTCATCTTTACTGTGCATCTGCTAACACCGTCTATTTTTAATTTCTGTCCTGCCAAAATTGAGTGTCTGATTTTCACCGAGGCCGTTTGGTTTTTCTTTGTCTTCCAACCTATTTGCCGAGAGGATGTCTTTATTTGTGAAGATGAAGCAGCACATCTGCCTCTGTCAGAGTTTGACGAGCGAGCTGAAGGTGACAGCCCGCAGTCTGCTTTCATAGCTCATTTCTGTGCCTCAGTGTCGAGCAGACGAAATGCTCTGATAAGCACAGATTCAACAGAATTGTTTGTTTAATCTTGGCAATATGCAATTACACTCACTTGTTTTGAGTAATGTTTCTCCAGTGGCTCCTGTGGGGAACAACAATTTGGCTTGCGTTAATTTTTTTGTTATTTGGTATTTTCCTCAGAGAATGCAATCAGAAACGTCTGTTCTTAATTAGCTTCTGCTATTGTTGCTGCGACAGATCTGTATACTGAGCAAATTTAATAATGGATATTGCTTCATGGATTCATGCCTAGCCTGGAAATACAGAGATAGCTCTGAATCACGAGGTAAAGAGGTTTGAGGGGAGATGAGGTAAGACGGCACGTTTTGTGATTGATCTCTTTTGCAGGACCATTCAGACAACCCCCTGGGTGCTGCAGTCACTCTGGCCCACGAGCTTGGACACAACTTTGGGATGAACCATGACACGCCAGAACGGGGGTGCGGCTGTAGAGTGACTGTGGATCGTGGAGGCTGCATCATGACTCCCTCCACTGGGTGAGTCACAGTTTCAGCTCCACCCCATCTTAAAAAACACAGGCACACATCTAAAATACATCATTATAATATAAAACTATCACTAATTTAAATTAATGTACTCATTAAGTACAGTAAGTGTCATCAAAAAACCCTGATTGCGATCTTATGTAAACATAATTCCACATGCTCTTCCCTTGTAATTTATTGTTTGCTGAGCAGTAAGCAAATTATGCCAATTAACTGTTGGGCCATTGGGTTTATGGCAGATTCAACAGCTGTGCTAATGCCCCAAGGCAATATGACTCACTCCGAATGGGAAGCCAGTAGTTCAGTGGCAGTGCATGGCCGTGACAGCACAAGACACTGACTGACTTATTCCCTGACATAATGCAGATGATGTCTTGCAGACTAAACATGTGTACTGTACATGTGGAAACAAGAAAGTTGCTCATTAAGAGTATCTGAGTGACAAAATGGCTTAAAATTCAACAGCTCAATTACATCTAATTGCTCACCATAGTCTTGACATCTTATAGTAGACCCAGCAGATGCAGAGGACGTTCTGAGAAGAAACATTGGGGTGTCTGTTTCAGCCAAGGCCTTGTGGTCTGTGGGAGCCTCCGACTGGTGTTTATGCTGGAAACATCCCTCTCTATTTGGTTTGGCCCAAGCCCATGAAAAACACCATAACAGTATTCCTTATTATAGACTTAGAAAACAACCGAGTCTTAAGAAGTGTAGATTTACATTATACTCTGATTGAGGGTATTCCTGGTCAAGGTCTTTGCCAAATATGGCAACAGAGTGAATATATTAAAAAGGGAAAGAAATGTTTGTTGAAGTAGAAATAAAATGGTTTTGTGTTTCCTTTGCTCGCCTCCTCTTGTCGTCTGGCTCTCCCCTTTTCACAGACAGTTACAGTGACGCTATTCTTTGATATACATGCAACTTTAATGCTGGAAAATCTCTTAGCAGCCCCAAGTAAATAATTGAAGACCCCTGAAAACGGTAGTTTTAATGTTGGCAAAACCCACCACCTTCTCCTTACTGTTTGAATCTGAAGTTGCATGTAGCAATGATGAACCTCTCTGAATGTGAAAAAAGGTGTTTGTGCCACACTTTAAATAAAGGCAAATTAAATAATACATGAATATTTAGCATGTTTTTCTCCACGGAGACTGTTTGCTTTTTTTTTTTTATTATAGCAGACAAAAGAAATAAATTATTTAGTCCTTGATTTTAAAAATAATCCCCTCTACTCCTCCTCTTTGCTCAATATTTCTGCCCTGCTTTTTAATCCAGGATTAAGGAACCAATACATTTAAATAAGGATGTTTAGGAACTCTACATTCTCTCATTCTGCCTCTTTATTTATTCCAGGTCAGTACCATAAAGTTTCCCCCATGGGTCCAGTTCAAGGCCCCTGCAGTTGCTTAAAAGCACTATATTTCTACAAACATTTTGCTAAAATTACCCGAATTCTGTTTTTCTTTTTAGAGAGAAAATCAGATATTTTTACGAAACCGTGTTATCTTACACACCTCTACTCAAGGCCTGCTCTGGAAAGAACTGCCACAAATGCCTGTCTGATTATCAGCCCCTCCATTCTGTAATTGAAAGTACTGGCAAGGCTCGCCTACACTCAGTCAATCACGAGTACCGTTTTTTTTTTTCATAAGTCTCTTTTGTTTTAGTTAAATGGCACAGAGTAATTGTAGGTTCACAGGAACATTGTTGCTTATATACGGGTGCCCTTCAGACTCTCCTGGCCTTGCTGTGGCTCCAGGAATAAGGCAAAGGAGATAATGAGATCCAGTTTGTCATTGTTACTGTGGGGTAGAGAGTGTTTGTGGGGTAGATGATGGGGGCGGGCAATAAAACTGCAAGCTGACCCAGTACCAACTACACATCTGCACAGAGGACCGCTTGTTTCCTGTTCACACTGCTCACGGCCATTTGTTGCGTCCTCCTCTCTATCCATCTCTGCATCCACCCATTAGCTCTAAATGAGAACACGCTGGTATTTCTCATCCTTTGAGATTATATCTCCTCGACAAACGCACAAACACAAACACAGCAAATGAGCTCATCACTCTTTTGCGGACATATGAGCACGTGCATGTGTGTGCACAAACATGAGAAATCCATGTATTTGAAAGACTAATGCAGAAACTACAGTTGTGCATTAGTCTTCCAGTCCTCTTCCATTTTATTCCGTTGTGTCCGAGCTCCAGGTTTGATGATCTGGTTTACTGTTTATTGACCGGTTTTTGTGCTTTCATTCAGAAAGTGCAGCTTTCTGGATGGAAGCTGTTTATCGCAAGGGCCATAAAGTAAGATGTTGAGCTCATAAAACATACAGCAGGGTGTGCAGGACATGAGAATGAAAAAAGAGAGTATAGACTACATTCTGACTGAACAGCAGCTTGGCTCAAATCAAAATGGGATAGAGCGTCTTGGTTTTCAAAAATAAAAAAGATGAATGATTCTCATAATTTTAGAAAAACTGACATGTCATTCTAGCTAAAACATATTGGCTCTTAGGTATATGCAGATAGCACTGATTTTCTGGGCATGCATGTCCTTGATATGTTCTGAAAGAGAGTGTGTTGCAAAATGACTGTAATACAAAGCTGATATATATGTTTTGTCATTAAATAATTAGAAATCACAGAAAGTGAGTCAAAGGCATGCCATGGAAATGTGACTCATGCCTCACTGATGAACAGGAACTCACTAGTGCGCCTTGTTTAATTGGCTCCGTGGGGAAACAGTGCTCTTCAGTATCTACAACAAGGCCCTGCTGACATGGCGTCAAGGAGTAACAGCAGATCATATGACCTAATGGCATCGCTTAGAGCTCGGGCTCTACTTGCATTAAGGAATCTGTAAAAATCCATATGAAATATCTGGTGAAGCAGCAGTCGTTTTGTTCGTCAGTTGTCATGCTCAGCTTCAAATTTTCTTTGTTCACAATTCCTAAATGTATGTCAGTAAAAGACTAATTTGGTATTTTTAAAAATATTCTCACTGGATATTGCAGAAGATCTGATTCATAACCTCATCGCTGTTTCATGGCTGAAAAGATGCAGTATAAATTGAATTTTTGTGATCTGAACTGCAAGGACGGAAAAGCTGTGAGGAAAAAGCCCCGCTGAGCTAAATTTGGGTCTAACAGCTCTCTGAATTTTAATGTGATACGTTGCAACTAATCACTGGTATAATAGGGTTTGGCTTTAAGGTCATAGTTTACAGCAAACGCTCATATTAAGATGACGCTCGTGTGTTGGTTATTTTATGTTTTAATAAGAAATATGTAGGGAGGCAGGACATTTTGTCAGATATATCTTCCTTTAAAGATTACTTACTTCATTCACCTCTTCAAACAAAACAAACAAACACAAACAAATGTCACAGTTTATCTACCTTGTTGTTGGAGCAGCAAAGCTTCCAGCTCTGTATTGTGCGCTGTGCAGAAATTATTCCTTATCATAGACCGATCCCCACTCTCTCCATTTGCATCGATGTTGCTACACTGTAGTCAGTGATTGTTTTGTACTCTCTTTCAACCATCAAATGCTGGACCTCTGAAGCTTAGGAGCCAACTGTCAAACACTGACTATAAGTCGGAGATGAACCAGAGAGCACAAAAAATATTCAATCTATACTGGAATTAGAGCATGAGTGGGTGGGAAACATTGAGTTCGATAAGACGGAACAAAGATTTGTCGTAAAGGCAAGGCAATTCGACTTAAACTGTTAGCAGTCGGACGTACCGCCCACGGGACATTGGATGGTTTAGGGGACTAATAGGACTGCTAAGGGGTTAAACCAAGACAAGAATGGGATCAGCTGGGAACAAGATTGAGTCAAACTGGGTCTTTTGGCCGAGACGATGAGTGGTTGTCTTCAGCATTTCCAGTTCACCATATGCACCAGATGTGCCAGCCATTACTGGCCTTGGCAATGGCCTGCTAGCCCTGAGGACTGCAGCTGCTAAATGCCATCCACTGTAAATCATTGGTGCCTCTGCCTTTTCACAGTCATTATTCCTCCTCCTACCTCCAGATTGTTAGGCTATACCAATTATTTGTGTATTGCCTCTCATAAAGAACAGCTGGATCCCTGAGCAGCTCGTGTATCTCAAGAGTTACAAAAAGAAAAAAAGACGGACGTGAGAGTTTTGTCATGCATTGCACAGGCTGGTAATTGAAGAGCAGGGCTGAGTTCATGGAAACTGAATGAATGCAACGAAGGAGGGGGTTCAACTTTTCAACGGGCAATTTTGGCTCAGGCTTTGGGGGCAAGGAGGAAATCAACAACAGCAGTTGCTAAGGAAGTGCCCTGCTTGTTGAACAGCAGTCTTGACAGCTGTTGATCAGAGAGGAGGAGGAGGGGGAAAGAGGGCACAATTATGGTTATTACTACAGCTGTCTTTAATGCTCTTTCCTTTCACCATTTCATTTCATTACAAAGCCACTCTGATCTTTTGCTTTAATCCAGAATGTCTGGAGATCTGCTTCGAGGTAACCCACTTTTACCTAATGCAACCTGCGAACGGGGTGGGGGGGTCAGCAGCGAGGGGTGATGTAAGCCGCCTCCGCACATGTTGGAAATCAAAGACAAGCCAAGAATGAGGCCGTGCCAAACATTCACAAAGTGTCATGACATATTTAGAGCTGTATTAGATGTGAAAACCCAATCAGAGGGAAACACAATTTGAAAGAGTTGCCAGCATTAAGTTACACAGACGTTTCTCCTTCTCAGAAGTCAAAGATTCCAAAGAGTAAGTGTTTTATAGCTTGTGTGCAATACAGCCAGTAGGTCTCAACAGCTCTACTACATTCATACTGACCTCAGTGAAGTGAAGAATTGTGGGTTGTTTGCAGTTGTGACATTTCCTGTCAACAATCCACCAGAAAAACCTTTAAAAATTACATAAAAATATCATCAAATTAATGCCAGTAAAGTTTTACTAATCTGGATTTCATGTTTGACTGTGTCTATAATATTCAGTTGTTGAGCACGTTGCTGCTGTGGCCAGGTTCAAGATAGATGTGTTTTATATGGTAGAAAAGGTTTCTCTTTCCCATGCAAAGGAAAGAAAATCAGGCTTTTAAAGCCACAGGCACGAACAGGCACGTGGGTGGCAGAGGTGGTAAAGGGTCAGCATTAGTGTTGATGGCATAAATAATAAAATGGCACGATAATAATACATTTTATTTAAATGACACCCTTTTTCAAAAGGGCTTTTACAGACTAGCAAGAAAGCAGAATAAAGCCGATCATTAAGGTCCAACAAAACAAGATAAATCTACGGTGAAGTTGGCGGGGATAGGTGCAAAATGCAAGATACAAGATGACAATTTAAATAATAAATATCAATAAAAGAATAAAAGCAATAGAGCAGAAACAATAAACAATGAAGAAAGACAACGATAAGAGAATAATGGAAAACTGAGACTGTGAGAGATGGCTTCACATAAAAGAGGAAGTGATTTTTAAAGAGGTCACTTATTCAGTGAGACTTATCTGCTTATCTCAGGCGGGTCTCTCCAGAGTCGAGGGGGCCCTGATGAGAATGTACATTTAAAAAAAATTCAAGGGTCCTTCATCACACCGGTTGAACGAGACATTTGGGTATCAAATCATCCACGAATTGTCTCATGCATGTACTTATCTATGAAGCACAGCACTGATATAAGTTTGAAGATTACGTATATATTCATCCATTCCAGCTTTGTGCTGAGTTTTATTGTGTCAGTGGAGTATTAAAAATCTCATATGGTGCTTTTGTATCAGGAGTCACAAAGAATGAGATACAATCTGGACTTATTCATGCACATTTTACACAGACGCTGTCATCTAAGGCACTATATTATCACAGAAAAGCTCAATAAAGCCACATGAGGTCTTTAACAAAGCTTTTGGCAGACACAGCCTCGGGCCGAGTGCTTTCCCCACGGTGCAGACCACCCTCTCTCTCTGTTCCAAAAACAATATTAAAAACACACAATCCCCTATTTCTCCTAAATTTATGGGTGTTGTACGTCTTGCAGAGGAAGCACTTTTTGGGTTGAGTGTTCATAATCCTTTTCTCATAAAATATGTCTAATCAGATCTCCCACTCTCCATGGAGAGAGAAGTCACAGGGGCCCTGTGCTGTTCATATGCTGATGGAACTTTGGAGAGCTCGCTGAGCTCTAGTGGTTAATTGATTTTGTGATTAGCAGCAATTAGCCCTGATTACATTAGACTAAAGAGGGCTCTCGTGGGGGGATCTCAGTTGTCTTCTTGCTCTCTCTCTCTATTTGTGTGACTCACGTAACATTTCCTTCACTCGCAGGTATCCTTTTCCTACGGTGTTCAGCAGCTGCAGCAGGAAGGACCTCACGGCTAGTTTCGAAAAAGGCGTTGGAATGTGTCTCTTCAATATGCCAGAGGTCAAAGTGCTGTATGGTGGGCAGAAATGTGGCAACGGCTATGTGGAGGAGGGAGAGGAGTGTGACTGTGGAGAACTGGAGGTGAGGGTGCTGCAGGTCATAATAAAAAAAATAAAAAATGTTTTTATTTTCAGGTCTCTTGCAGCTTTTGCCAAAAACTCTTAGCTGCTACTCATAAATCATTGTTAATTATGTTTTCCATTCTACAGCAAATTAAATAAGGAGACATGCTAGAGGGGCGTGCTGCCCTGACACTAGTAGTTCGCCTCAGCTTCAAATCTAATGGCACAAAGCTTTTGTATTGCAAACACATTCTTCTGATAATTAGGTTAAAGATATGAGTATGGATTAATTCAATCAGTGGAAAGAAGACATGTTTGCGAGGGTTGATGTCTAATTGTGATACAGTACACTGAGAGGAAGCACTGCTGACAGTTTCACACTGTCAACTAGTGAATTATTTAAATGAATCTGCATTGGCATGCACATATTTAATGGAAGTGCATGTTGCCAACTGTTACAACTGCAGGATGATAAAACAGATAATCGTGATTCGGCTGACAATTAGCAGAGGCGAGCTGCTTATCGAATTATGAAATATGAAGGCGACATCTATTGTGATTTAGAGGGATATTTTGAATTACATAATAGCCTAAATGAGAGAACGCCTTGTTGTCTTTTGTAATTTGTTTATGCTTTTACGCCCCATGAGTTCTTTTGTGAGCTGCTCAAGTTTCAGTCAGGGTCACACTGAAAGTGGCCTTGTCCTTAAAAACAAAGCGCTAACATAAGCTCCGCTGACCTGAGCCAGCAACAATAATAAAGCTCTCCACAAAACTGAGCAGAGTCATGCCAACTCAGGCCAGATCAGAGTTCTCAGCCAGCACCCCTCTCCGCCATTAAAAAGCCTCATTAAAAACTCTGGGTCCTGCTCCTCACAATCACTGGCTACTTCTTTTCAGCGTGACTTCTCTGCCTCTTTTTGGCCCCAGGGACCATGGGAAAGGCCCTTAATGGTTTTCAGACTGAAAGAAGTTTTGGAAGGCCCATCATATCAGCTGTGTCCCCTGCCAGCTCCATCCATCCACTTCCTCCCAACTCTTGCAGCATATTCAGACTATAATGGCAAAAGGAAAAGAGCTGACCCTCGGGGGTCCAGACAACCTGCATGAGATCATATATGCACAAGCACACACACACACACACACACACACACACAAAGTGCATATCGTATATTCTGAGTCTTGATTGAATTCTTGCTTCCATGTGTATTGGAAAGCAGTGTTACTGATTGGTGCGGTGCATGGGTCACGATAGAGGCTAACAGGAAACAGATGGTGCTCAACAGTGAGATGGGAAATGTTATTGTAGATCTGCCCTCTCTCTCTCTCCCTCCAAAATGCCTCTGGATGCTATCTAAGTGACCTAAACCAACCAGAGCAATGAAATAAGTGATGGCATGCTGAGTGACAAAAATGTAAACAGAGCATGTCAGTCATCGTATCGCACCTGCTCTATTTCAGATAAATGGAATGGAATCTATAGCTGCCCCTAAAAGTGCGTGATTAAAATATTTTTTTAAATTAATGCACTGATTGGGAACAGTCCCCTCTTTTTTTTTTCATCAGCCTCCACATCTGCACCTGGAACGTTCTTGGGAAACTGGACAAAGTTGGAGATGCCTGTAAATTTATAACCATAGTTTTAAAAAAAGGGCATATTTGTATGCTGAGCTTAAACCTCCTTTTGGCAAAGGCTTTTTCAAAAGCTCACAAAATCGTTTTAAATGTGTATTAAAGTGAGGTTATATTTCCACAACGCTTTGATCTATCACAACCATGCCACAGATGTTTTCTAGTCCATCCATCCATCCATCCATCCATCCATCAATTTTCTGTTTTATGTCTGGGGTGGACACCCTTATTTCTCTGTCCCTGGCCAGCACCTGCAGCTTTTCCAGGGGAGCACTAATAGGTTTAATATCTCTGATATATCCTGGGTCTGCCCTACACCTCATGTTCAGGATGTTTTACAGTCTTCACCGAAATGCCTCAGCCTCACAAAAGTTGTCAAATGGAGTTTAATTTTTCTAAACCATAATCGTTATTGCTAAAAGTATTAACTCACCCATCCAAATCATTGAATTGAGGTGTTCCAATCCTTTCCATGGCCACAGGTGTATAAAATCAAGTACCTAGGCAGGTACTCTCTCAGGCGCTCAGTGAATTCCAGCATGGCACCGTGATAGGATGCCACCTGTGCAACAAGTCCAGGTGTGAAATGTGCTCATTACTAAATATCCACAGTCAACTAATAGTGGAATTATAACAAAGTGGAAGTGACAGGGAATGACAGCAACTCAGGCATAAAACGGTAAGCCAAGTAAAGTCACAAAGCGGGGTCAGTGGATGCTGAGGCTAATAGTGCACAACTTTCCACAGAGTTAATAGCTACAGACCTCCAAACTTCACGTGGCCTTCAGATTAACTCAAGAACAGTGTAGTGTGGGAACAGTTTGGGGACAGCCCCTTCCTGTTCCAACATGACCGTGCACCAGTGCACAAAGCAAACGTCCATAGCGATATGGATGAGGAAGTTTGGTGTGGAAGAACTTGACTGGCCTGCACAGAGTCCTGACTTCAATCCAAAAGAACAGCTTTGGGATGAAATAGAGGAGAGGCTTTTAGAGAAATGGTCAAAAATTCACACGAACACACTCCTAAACATTGTGGAAAGACAAGCCTTCCCAGAAGAGTTAAGGCTGCTATAGATTCCTTGCAGAAGTGCTTGGCTTATCAATACTAAATATGTACCTGATTGTTTGTTTGTTTTTTACTCAAGCTAAAAAGTGAGCAGTTTGGAATGTTGATTGCTGAAGTTTCACTTAAATATTCCAAATAGTTGTATATAAATTAAGATAACCTTTGCCTATTTAAATTATCGAGCCAGTTTAGTAAGCAAAGTAATTACTGTAGATTGCTTACATTTGTATTCAGAAGAATTGCATCTGAAAATACGAAGAATACCTGAGTAAGCCTTATATCATGGCAGCAGAGTGTGGGTTAAGTTTTTGATTGCTACTGTCACACCTGCCTGAACTGAAGTGGAGTTATTAGCTGTGGAAGTGTTGTGCAAATCAGTCTTTTACAATTTGCTTGTAAAGTAGCATCGTCTGTGTTTATATAATCTAAAGTTTCATTCATTTAAACTTACGTCTTTCTTTGTTATCTTCTCAGACATTGTCTTAGTTGGATTCTTGAGCGTTATGCTAACTTAAAAAAGTATTTTAGCACTTGCTTGCTTATTTAGGGTTTCTGCAGGGTGTGTCCTTTTCTTTTCTCAGGGAATGGGGCGATTGTGGCTCAAGAGTTGGGAGCTCGCCTTGTAATTGGAAGGTTGCCGGTTCGAGCCCCGGCTTGGACAGTCTCGGTCGTTGTGTCCTTGGGCAAGACACTTCACCCGTTGCCTACTGGTGGTGGTCAGAGGGCCCGGTGGTGCCAGTGTCCGGCAGCCTCCCCTCTGTCAGTGCGCCCCAGGGTGGCTGTGGTTACAATGTAGCTTGCCATCACCAGTGTGTGAATGGGTGGCTGACTGGTTGTGTAAAGCGCTTTGGGGTCCTAGTAAAAGCGCTATACAAATACAGGCCATTTACCATTCTCTCCTGTTCATTTTACTATTGAGTTCAACATGGTTTCTGGGGTCTGAAAAAATCCTGTCAGATGTTTTTCGAAACCTAGAAACTGCTGTTTCCTTTCTTCACTCAGGTTTTTTTAGTTGCTACGTTACACAGTCCTGCTAGGGCTGCATCCCCTCTGATAACAAAATTTGAGTTTTTGCTCTGGGGTGAAATATGATCTCTTTGTGCTGAGTTAATTCTTCTTCACTTTTGTTCCCTCTTACTTACTTTTCCTTTCTCTGCTTGTCTTCTTTTACTATTCTTTTCCATCGGAAGGAATGTATGAATCCCTGCTGCAATGCCACCACCTGCACTCTGAAAGGAGATGCTGTTTGTGCACATGGACAGTGCTGCCAGGACTGTCAGGTAATATGTGTTATAGTATTTCAGTACAAAGTATTTTTACAGACATCTTACAAAAACGTTATTTTCTCTGATTAACTTGATTTGACATCCTTTAATCCGATGTAGTAGAAATGTATTTTTTGGCGTAATTCACATTTCTCTGGGCTTCACTGTGGGTCTTTGTCTTTGTTGTCGTGTAGCTGAAGCCATCAGGCACACTGTGCCGTGAATCCAGCAACTCTTGTGATCTGCCTGAGTTTTGCACCGGTACCAGTCCTCACTGTCCCTCCAACGTCTACCTTCATGATGGCCATGGCTGCCACAATGTGGACGGCTACTGTTATAATGGCATTTGTCAGACTCATGAACAGCAGTGCATAACACTGTGGGGTCACGGTACGTGAAAAATCCCCCTTGCTGCATCACACTCAACAGTTCAACAATTGTTGCGATTTTTTTTCTTTTTATGTGTTTAACGCATCTTGCAGGAGCCAAGCCAGCTCCAGGCATCTGCTTTGAAAGGGTCAACTCAGCAGGAGACCCTTATGGCAACTGTGGCAAGGACACAAAAGGCTCCTTTGCCAAATGTGAAGTGCGGTAAGTCCTGATGTCGCCATAGAAACTAGTGAATGTATTCAATAGCATGTGATTTATGGAATGCAGTTAGGAACATAAAGCATATTGTACCTATTTCATAAAAAATGCATATACCTCATTGAAATAGGAGCACTTTTTCAATGCTAGGCACCACTCTGTGTGACTGAATGAGGCTGACACAGTTTTCTCAGTAGTTAAGAAAAATAAAGCAAAAATGCCAGATTGGTGTCTCAGTTTTATGAAGCTTTTTCCCCCCAAGTAGCTGATCCATTAGATGATAGAAAATAATCATTAGTTGGAGTCCTAATTGAGGGTTGCAGAGTCATTTGATGTAATGCAACAAGTTCTGTCTCTAAAATCTCAGTTGTGATCTGGAAACGGCGTAAACGAGCTGCCTGTTCTTCAGTTTCTTTAATTGGACAGAAGGAGAAAGATGAAAATGAAAATAAAGCTCCTCGTATCCACAAAACAGTGACATGTAATTTAATTATTATATTGTTATTCCCCGTGGTGTTTGTTTACAGAGATGCAAAATGTGGCAAAATCCAGTGTCAAGGAGGAGCTAATCGCCCAGTAATTGGCACCAACGCTGTTTCAATTGAAACCAACATACCCCTTCAGGAAGGGGGAAGAATACTGTGCCGAGGTACGCATGTCTACTTGGGTGATGACATGCCTGATCCTGGCTTGGTCCTGACAGGAACCAAGTGTGGAGATGAAATGGTGAGAGCTAAGGCTTGTGCTTTCAGTCTCATTACATTTATCAGTTATGGTTAAGTAGATGTTGCTATTTCTATGAGCAGTTCATGAAAGATGCCTATTGTGCTTTTCATATCTTCTATCATATATACTGTTACAACAATGGATCTTCATGTTTAATAATGAGGTCAGCATATGTGCAGATAATCCCTATGGGCCAACATTTCAGACTTCTGAAGGCTCTAAAAGATTAGTTTCAGACAGGTTGTCTACTCTCATCTCAAGGGCACAGCACTCCCACCTACCTGCTGTTCAGACCTTCTGTTTGTGAGGACCAGTCAATCAGAAGAATGTAGCCTATATAAAGGGGGAAACGAGCTAAAATGGCTTGCTTTATCCAGTGAAAGAACCGGTAGATCTTTTAATGAACAGTTATAAATGAAAGAGAGGGTGATTTTCTTTTATATTAAACATCATCATTGTAATCAAGGAATGAAATAACATCAAATCAAACCACTGAATGTGAAAAACGGTTGGTCCACTGTCCTAAAAATGTATGCGTTAAGGTACATACCAAAAAAGGAAAAGGAGAAGTGCTTATTAACTTCCAGTCAGGGTGGAGAACTCCATCCAACATAAACATGCTGTGAAAAAAGCACAAAAGACATACATGGAAAACGGTTACCAAAATAAAACAGGAAGTGGCTTGTAGTAAAACACAGGAAGCACACTGAATCTGCGTCCCAATTCTTTGGATGTATAATTCGGAAGAGTGCCTAGATAGGTTGCAGTCCCTGATTTGGGTTGTAACTACAGACAGAGACAAAAACAGAGAAAACGTGGTTCAAAATCATAACAACAAAAACAAATATGAAAGTAATAGCACCAATGCTAATCTGTAAGTCGATATAAACACAAAACTTATTGCTGACAAATAAGAGTGGAGAAGGGGTGGAGTGAAAGGCCATGACTAAGATGTTTTGAGGAGTTCTTTAAGCCGTGTCCTTTTGTCATTTCAGACTTGCACTGGCTCAGACTCTTAACTGACTTAACATTATTCAGTCTATTTGGCATCTCCTAGTGTTCATCAATCTAGCCATTGGTCATTTCGCTGATACAGTTAGTCCATTTAGTCTAATTTAGCTCTCTATGAGCCTCGACTCTTAAGGAGGATCTACCCTCCGCCCTCATCTGCAAAGGCATTACATTCTGTGCCCGCTGCTGCCAAGCTCATCTTCACATTCTGCTGTGCTATACTCTCTTTGTGTCTGGTGCCTTTAAGGAGACATATAATACATTTCTGATACATTCCCGTCAGTGGTGACATCGTTTTATTTCATGCTATACTGATTTACCGCTGAAGTGCCTGTCAGAAGCAAATTAAAAGAAAGGGCATAGCGCCTCTATCTGTTTTTACCTTAAAAATGAAAGGGTTTGGAAATTTACTGACATTGTTTTTGAGCTCACACTGTTGATTTTTCGTGTCGTTTTCTGCTTCAGATGTGTTTGAATCGTCAGTGCCAGAACGTCAGTGTTTTCGGTGTGCACGATTGTTCGGCCAAGTGCAGCGGTCGAGGGGTGAGTACAGTACGTTTCATCCTGTTTCGCTGTTTGAAAAAAAACGATGTGATAGTTGTCAATCCTAAAACAAACCGTATTCCGCCTTCACATCGGCTCGTTTGGGCTGTAATGTGTTCAGAATGCCCAGTACACACTGGCTAGAGAGCCATTACACTGCCTTGCAATCAATCACTCTGAATGCTGAAAGGTTCAATCAATTAGACATAATGATTTCATTTCTGTTCTGCGTAAAGGGTCATTCATCATACCATCAGGCAGTCTTCCTTGTCCCGAAAAATCTGTTGAAATCTGAAGGCCCGGCTTTGTTTGGCCAAACCCTCGGAGCAATGACACACAGTCTGACTTTGAGCTGGGGAAAATAGAGATTAGATTTTTCTTAAATGCCACCCATCAAATGTCTACGGGTGGTCCTGTTAGAGATGAAATGTATGGCTTTGTAGTATTAAATTTCCTGGTGAAGCCCAGAGGCTTTGGCTGTGACTGTGACTGTTTAAGTTGCTCTTTCATCAAACGTATACAGACGAAAGAATTGCGACTGTCTGTTAAAGTGAAACGTGTCCGGGTGTTATACAGCGATATTTGTTTGTGTAGCGCCATAAGACATGTCTATGAAATTTTAAGGAATGTTTTACTTGCTGAAATAAAAAGAGACAGGGCACCTCTGCATGTACAGATTAGATCAAGATGTTGCCTTGGAGAGAGGCCCTCACCTGTTCCATATTACTCAGATAGGGAATCCTCTTAGACTTTACCATTCCTGCACGACAGGAAGAGGGAGAGAGAGATTATAAAAATGTGGTTTAAGAGAAAGGGTCTGCTCTGAATTTTATACCAGACATTTTTGCTACGCGGAGCCTAGCAGGGCTGGCTGTTGGTCGATTCTGTCTGCTTCATGCGGCACATAAAGAATGGAAATGATTTTATCATCTGTTCATTCATCAGTTTTCGACTGCTTATTTGGGTCATGGGTGTAGGAGGGCATCGGTTTTAGCAGATCTGCCCAGACTTCCCTCTGCCTGGCCATTACCTGCAGTTCTTTCAGTAGGCATTGCCAAGCCAGCAGAGAGATGTAATCTCTCCAGTGTGTCCCGAATCTCCACGAAACACTTCACCTAGGAGATGTCTAGAAGGCATCTTAGATAAATGCCCAGACCTCTTCAGCTGGGTAATTTTAATGCAGAGGAACAGCAGTTCTACTTTGAGCCCCTCCCGAACGACTGAGCTCCTTACCCTATCTCTTAAGGGCGAGCTCAGACACCCTTCAGAGGAAGCTTATTTCTGCCACTTTATATCTCAAGCAAAAATCCCACATTTACTTATTCTATCGTATTAAATTTGAGAAATTGTTACTTGGCTGTAAAGTAAATGAAAATTTACTACTTCTTTTTTCGGCAACTCAATTTCTAATTTCTGAGATTTTTTTTTTAACATTGAGAAATTTACTATGATATTGTATTGAATCACTCTGCATCCCTTTGCATAAACATAACTCATTTGTAACCTATTAAATTTAAGCAGCATAATAAATGTATGGAGTGTAAAAGGTGTTAAAAATAGGGGGGCGCTTGGTCTCATATAATAGTTAACTGTCCTTTTAATATACTGTAGGTGTGCAATAACAACAAGAACTGTCACTGTGAGGCTCACTGGGCGCCTCCCTTCTGTGACAAGGCAGGTTTCGGTGGGAGTGTGGACAGTGGTCCGATCAGGCAAGCAGGTAAGTCAGTAGCTGTTACACCACAGGAGTGATTTATTGCATTTCAGGTCATTAAATTTAAAGGTTTTCAGAGTGTCATTTTTCAGCATTTTTACCATAATATACAATAAATTGTGGACTTATGTTTAGACACAAACTCCATGTGAGAAATCCTGAAATTCTGAAGTAATAATGGAATAAACTTGGAGAATACTCCCAAAACTTTTGTGTGTGTTTCTGAGCAGACAATGGGAATCTGACAGTGGGCATTCTGGTAGCTCTACTCGTCGTCCTGGGTGCCGGTCTGACCATGTGCATCAAGAGAAAAACTCTACTGAGACTTCTATTTACAAGCAAAAAAAATCCAATAGAGAAGATCAGGTGTGTTTTCAGCCCGTAATAGTGGAATGATTTCTAGATATAATGCATCTTTTTTGTAACAGATCAAGGTCCGTAAATGAAAACAACAGGTGCCATTGAGCGGGGGAGTCTTTATGATTGGTCACACTGTGAATCCAATTACAGTGGTGAATTTACTTTTGATTGCACAGTTTAAATTATATTACTATTGTAACTGGTGTATGATTAATATAATAAAGTATTTAATTACAGATATATAATTTCTTCTTTATATTACAGATCAGTAAGCGCCGCAATCAGTGGACCAACAGCTCCTAACCAGCCTCCATCAGCAAGCTTAACCTCTCCATCCCGACCGGCACCGCCTCTGCCTCACAGTGCCACCATCTTCAAGGTCACTAGATTGCACACATCTGCTTTTGACCGGCCGATCGCATACACACCAATAGATGTGGCTCTGACAAATGGAGGATCGGCAATAGATTATCCTTGCTGTTTTATTTTTCCTGGAATGCCGCAGCTGTTTCGACAGCGCACATCATTCTCAACTAGATTGACGTGCTGTTTTCACACAAATGGCAGCTCATTCAAATCCAATTAAATCATCCTTTTCCATATGGACTTGTAGAGGAGGTTGTGATAATGGAGTCTGTGGCGAGCAGCATGTTCAGGCACTCTAATACATTTCATGTCATTAACAGCTGTCTGTTAAGAGAGAAACTGATTCATCTGCACATGAAGAATGTTGATGCAGCTGCTTAGTTGACTTCTAAAGCCATCTTGTTGCTCGTAATTGCAAGGCAGAAACCGCATTTTGCTGTACTTGTGTGCCTACATCGCTGTATGCCTTTACCTCCCCCCACATTATTGCCCTGACTTAGTTTGTAATGGGAAGTGACCCGTGATCGATCAAGTTAGGGGCTGCTGAAGGATAAGAGAAACTGTGTCAGAAGAGCCTTTTGTGTTGCAGGGTGGCACACAAGTGGAGTAAGCTGTTGTGCATTACCATGAGATTGGTGTTTTCAGTTAGTGGCATGTGGTTTTCATTTGGGGTCAACGGTAAAAAGAGAGAGGATGTAAGGCTGTTTGATGTAGGCACAGAGCAGGTGAGGTCATTTTCCAGTTGTTGGGAGCTGCATTAAACTGCCGCCTGAATGCATGTTTGCCTGCCTTTGTAAGTCTTATATTGTGTTTAAGCTGTGCACATCTGGACAGGTTTAAATATCAAGCAAGACTCATATTTTGGCTCTTTAGCTGTGTTCATCTTTTAAGAAGCCCAAGCGAGTGCTCATGGGATAGTCGTGGTCTTTTCCCTTTACGAAGTCACCTGATGTCAACTCGGGGGAATAGAGAGCAACTAAGTGGGAGTGTTTGATTTATGTATCTTTGAAAGCATCAGGAAGGACAGCAGAGGAAGAGGAGGAGATTATCATGATTGTTTCTGATAGGAAGCAGACGGTTTCTCTTCTGACAAACTCTTTCAACTTTAATCTCTCTGTAGCCTCCTCACCGAGGGCCAGAGGCGGGGCTCCCACCGGCCCCCTTCCCTCCCCACAGCCTGCATAGACTGCCCCAGTGCCCTCCAGTTCACCTTAGCCACCCAGTCCCTCTTTCCCTTACCGTGTCCCTCTCCCCTGGCCCTGGGCAACCGAGACCCCCAGTCCCTCCTCCTCACCGAGCCCCTCCACCTCACATCCACGTCGCACCCAGAGGGGCGTCATTTCACAGTGCATCACATCACAACTCTTGCAGGATGGTCATGGTGAGTGAATTTCCTGTTTCCTCAGTTGGAAACATTTTATTCGATGATGTTACTTACTGTAATTTCGCCACCGCTGTGTCTGGGGAGCTTTTACTCGCTACCCAGGCCTGTAATACCCAACCGGGGAAATGATGATGTTCGATGCACTTTCAAATTGCTGTTTTTTGATGTCAACTGTTTTCATGGTTCTTTCGTGTGCTATAAAAGCAGAGGCATGTTGACAGTTATGCACAGTCACATAAAATAACGAGGTTAGCCCAGGAGCTAGCGCCATCCAAGCAAAGCTTGAGCTCTACAACAAAAACCACAACATAAATAATAAAAATGGAGCCAGACTCACAGGAGGGGAGCGTGTGAGGGCAGCAACTGCAAGGAGCAAGTATGTACAAATATCACAGGGTGGCAAACTTATTGCCACTGTTATTGCATGGGCTTTAGTTATAGCATTGCAGGGTTTCAAAACTGAGAGGAACAGAAAGCCAAATAGTAATTCTTATTTGACTTTAAACTGATTTGATTTGTACTCTTGGAGGTACTCAAGCCCAAAGAGACAGAAGTAAAAAGAGCCAATCTAAATGATTTGAGTGTTTGAGTGTTGTTAAAAAGACAGAAACTGATTGGAGATCATTGGTGCACGATTCTTTCAGGCTCAGATGAACAAGGTTGGATCTCAGACAAAAATTGTCGGCATTCATTTCCAGCCTTGGCTGCTTTTATGTTTCGGTTCTGTAACATTGAATATTATCGAAAACGTTTGCAAATGTCACCTTTGCCTGTGGAAAAAGCATAAAGGTCATCCATTGTTACTAATTGATCAAGAAAACTGAACATAATTGAACCCCAGCGACCCCAGGAATACTGCCGAATTTCTTTTTTTGCATTAAATATCTATAATGTATTTATGTTGAAAATACCATATACATAAAAAACAAATAACAACGTGAGAAAACAAAGATTTAATCATATAACAAATGTCTTCCAGGTGACAGTTACAATAGGTGACAAATGCTGTGTATTGCACAAGATGCCAGAAAAAGCACACAGAGACACAAAGCACAATACAGCGTGCATGATAACATCTTCTAAAAAGCAGATTGATAATATACAGTATTGACTGCTGGAGAATTTTTAAAAAGCACCCGTCGATTTCATAAAAGCTCATACACCTGTTCAAAATGTGGCGTACAGAAGCTCTTGGCTGTTTTTACTTTAAGAAGTAGGCCCTCTCAGCTGCTCCTATTAAATGGCAAAGTGATTCCTGTTGGCAGCAGGCTTCATCAACTGTATCTTTAGCAGCTGTTTGGCAGCTCTAGGATGTTAACAAAGAACATAAGTCATGAGTGAAATCTCTCTGCTGCGGGCTTTGAAGCACTGTTAAATGTGAGAGCTCCACCTGAGGAAATGAGCGGGGTTTTAGACAGACTGTTTTGTGGGTGTGTGAGGTCTGAGGTTCATCCCTGTTGATCCTTTCTCTCTGTGGTGTTTGTGGAAACGTCTCCTTAGCCCAGGAGAAGAGTAGGGAATGAATCATGATCTCTGTATTTTATTAAAGAAGATTTAAACAGCATGATAGTTTTCCTGTTATTCGTTGGTTAGAGAAGACAGCGTCTGCGCCTCAAAGAGAAGCTCAAAGAAAAGCAGGCATTGGCTATAATTATCTGACTGTTAGTGCCACCTGGTGGTGAGTTTCCATCATTATTTAAAAGTGTCTGTCCTTTAATAGGAATTGGAGAAGCCCAGTCCTCCTCAGAAACCTCTACCTGCTGATCCAAGGGGGTCTCGACTGGTGCGAAGTCCCTCTGTTCAGCAGAGCCAAACCGCAGGCCAAGGACCTCCTAGTGTCTGTGGCCCTGTGCCTGCCGTGCCCAGACCTCCACGTCCTATCCCACACCTCAACAGGTGGGTTCAAACCTTACCTAGATATATTTAACTCGCTGAAACATTTTTTTTTACTTTTTTTTTTCCACTTTTCTCTTCCTCTAGGCCGAGTCCCAAGCACCCCCCAACACTACCAAAGCCTTGCATTATTGCCAACGTCAAATACAGCAGCTGAGATTTTGGCCAGAAGGGACATTGTTATGATAAGACTGAAAAGATTTGCACTATGAAAACTCTGAAAAACCTTAAAAAGGTGGTGGCTTCTCTGAGTTTTGAATCAGGAGACCTGCCGTGTCCCTTTTGGTGCTCTGTCTCTGAATGGTGCTACGAGTCTGAGCTCAGGTACATGTAAAGTATTTATATTCAGTATTTATTGCCACGCAGTGCACTGTGCCAGACACTTTTAAGACATGGTAGCAACTTTGAATTTTGAATTACTTGTTTTCGTTTCGCGCCTTCACATCAGCCAACATTTATGAAGGAGAGCGATCTGTGAAATTGTGCCAACGGAGACGCTTTTGTGGAATGTGTTTAAATGAAGGGAACCCATTACATTGTGGTTTTGTTTTGCGTCATAAGTGAAGAATTTCAAAAGAGTTGTGCAATGATAGATGGGAGCATCAAACAACATTTGTAGTATTTTTTTTTTTAATCCACTGGGGTTTTCTTGAAGGGTAACGCTCTGCGTAGCAACTTTGGGCCATCTGACAAGGCTTGAAACAACTGCAGCAAAGGAGATTGTGATATTAATACAACAGATCTTTGATGCGTTCTGCAATCAAGAAGACGGGTCGTTTCTTGGCTCAAAAATGAAATCCAGGCCTGTTCCTTTTTCTTCGTCATTTTTATCACGGAAAGGTAACACATTCAACTGTGAAATGTCACTGATTTGCCATTTCCTTTTCATTTGCAAGGCCCAATATGCACTCTTGAGGGATCCGGGTACAGAGATCTAAAATGAGCCAAGATCAAGAAAGTATCCCTCAGAAAGAGTAAACCTATCTGAAATATTTGCTTTGCTAAAGGTCATGTGTGTTTTTAATTTTTTTTTCCCCTTCTATGCTTGCTGCACCAAGGACTAGATTAAATCATGGAATCACTGATGACTTGCTTAAAGGTGTTCCTCGCATGTAAACAGCCAAAGTCTGGCTGCGGTGTTCATATGTGCATTTTAAGTCATGTTTTTATCTAACTGGAAAGGACAGTTTTACTTGATAAGAAAACATTTTTAGATTTCATTCTGCCACAGAAATGATGTTTAATGGTTACTCAGTATATGCTGACTCACTCAAGTGTTCATTTTTTAGTTTTCCTTTTTTTTTTTTTTTTTTTTTTTTTTTAAACATTTCTACTTTACATATTTTAGATAATCTTTTAAAAAATGAACACTGTTTTATCATTTTGGTTTACTTAATGTTTTTGCTGGATTGCAGTGCATCATATATAAATACATATATACATCCACAATGAGCAACATTTCCTTTGAGCACCGCTGTTGTTCACAAATATGTCTGCTAAAAACTGATATGGATAGAATTTTGTTACTTTTGATACTCTTTATAATAATGCACTAGTTTTACATGCATTGTTTTATTTACTTTGCTTTTTCAATGCTGTCTGTCTATGCCTAATAGAGACCTGTTTGTATGTTACATTGTATGTTCTTTGTATGTTGCGTTACAGGTGAGCACATTTTTTTCATGGAGAATTTTTGTTAAGGATTGTTCTTTAAGGCATCATATGTAAAACAAAAACAAAAAAAACACTTAAAGTGTCTGTGTCTGATCATGGTATTTTAAACAATCAGTATTAGTAAACCTGTTTTTTACACTGAAAACATTTGTTATTGACTTTTTATGCTTTTTTTATTACATTTACAGAAACACAGGCGACACTTGAACTCATCAATTAAAGATTCAAAACTGAAAAAAACAATGACATGTTCATTCCACAAGCCTGAGCCAGTGTAAATACAAAAAGATTTCATCCAGCTTCACATTTCAAAACCTCAGTGTCAGAACCCTCTGGCACTTTTTATGCTTAATAAACCAATTTTAAATTACATTTCAAATAATAAACATTATAATAAGGGTGATCTAACATTTTAGAGCAGCATTTATTTTCAGAAAAGTCTAAGGCTTCATACTTGCTGTAAAAGCTAATCTCATTTTAATGCTGTGAGCCTTTTTCTTAAAGCAATTTGACAAGGTCTCCATAGGGGATAGAAATAACACTTAAATCAATAGAACTGCTTACTATCAGGATTCGCTTGCAGTGATGTGGTGGAGTTAAGTGGTTGTGTGTAATTAAAAGGATACTGAAAGGAAACTTTGGGGAGGAAATCTCTTGTTGATAAGAAATTGAGGCCGCGCGCTAACGAAGACAAATGTTTCTGATGAGCTTTTGAAATCAGCCTCAGCCAGCATTTTCTAATTAGTCACATTTTATTTGTCAGTGGGTGAGACGTAGTGTCACCTCAGTGAAGTGTCTAAACATTGGGTTTAAAAGCTTTAAATAATGATCAAAATTACTGACATATCTGTTTTTGGCTGCTCTCAGGAGCTTTAGCTCTATTTTTTACAGATTTGCTGTTTATCAGGAGCTGAAATAGTTTCATTTATTACTCTGATAAAGGTAAGGTGATTTGTAAATGAACGCCAATTATGTAAGAATATAATTGTAACATTAACTAAAGTTAAAAATGGAATTCCAGCTAACATTTAAATATAAAAACAATAATAATCATCTATATACAGCCTGCTGACTACTGCTGAAATTCTAATACACTTTAATGAGCTTGTACCTTTCAACGTTACATGAAAAGATATTTTTAGAGATATTGTTACTGGTGGCAACAACGACACCATAAGTGTCCTCACTGCTTTACACGTGATTTCATGATAATATGCAGGCGATTATGACAGTCTCTCGGACGTGCTTATTGGTGCATGTGAAGCTCTACGCAAATCAAAACACGTGTGAAACCACGCTGAGATGAAATTACGCACCGATGGACATTGCGCGCACCAAGCTCCAAAGTGGACAGCTGCGAACTTTGAACAGCTTTAAGTAAAACATTAAAAACAAAAGCCTTAGCAAAAGGATTCTCTCACCTTGTACTCCGTCCAAATACGCGAACATAGCGTGGGATTTGTGTTTTTTTAAACGCCAGATGGAAAGGCACGCAGTCTGTTTTTCTATGCTTCCGTTTTGAGAAGAATGGACCTGTAGTTGGAGTGGAAGAAGAAAACTTAATGCGCACTAGTCCTGATAAACCCGTATGTCATGTGGGAGGAAAATAATTTGGCAGAGCCGAACGTTTGTCCTGACCGTGAAGAAAGTCCCGCAGAAGACACTTTTGGATTTGGAGATGATCTGGAGTTAAATCAGTTCGATGGATTGCCCTTTTCCTCGCGTTACTACAAGTTACTGAAGGAGAGGAAAACTCTGAGTGTGTGGAAGGTCAGATGTCAGTTTGAGGATGCTCTTGCAAACAACCAGCTGGTTATTGTGTCCGGGGCAGCAAAGACTGGCAGGAGTACACAGGTAAGAGTGTAGTCAGTGTTATTATTATTTTAGTAAGGAAATTTTTACATTCAACTTATGAACCTGGACTTATGTACAGGATGAATGTGGAGCTTCATAATAATGGGGCGTTTACCAGAGCATAACCTACATTGTATAAATTACACATGCTTAATAGAATAGAATAGCCTTTATTGTCATTGTACAGAGTACAACGAAATTGGAGTGCCACTCCCTTGGTGCAAGATTCAATAATAAATATAAATGTAAAATATAAAAAGTACAATAAAACAATCGCAAAGTATTCAAACAATAGTAAGTAAGATATATTGTTTGAATAATCCAATGCTCCCTGCGATTCGATATATTTAGGACTACCGTTTGTCACTCAGTGTTGCCCTGCTTGTGTGAACAGAAGCTGCCCAGCTCAGCAGATGATGTTGTGTCACTGTGAAGCTGTGTAAACTCCTGCCTGCCTGACCATCAGTCTGCACAAAGGCTCCAGCAGGGGTGTTAGGGGACCTCCAGCTGCTAAGCCCTGATCCGCTGGAGCCGACACATGCTGCCAAAGCAGTTTTGCATTATGAGCGATAATAGCATAGGATATCTCCTGTCACAGTTTGTTTTGCTGTGTGCTCAAACAAAAGCTGTTGGGATAATCTGAAAAGGACTCTTGTGAGTGAGAAAAAACAGCTGATGTGGTAGAAAACATTCTCTTGTTTAATATTTGAGGTAGTACTGATGTCCTGAATCATATTTTACTATAAAGACTTTTTAAGCATTTATCAATGATCTTCTTTCAGATCCCTCAGTGGTGTGCAGAGTTCTGTCTGTCTGCCCAGTATCAGCATGGTATGGTTGTGTGCACTCAGACCGACAAACAGCGGGCTGTAGATCTGGCCTTGCGTGTCGCTGATGAAATGGACGTCAACATAGGCCATGAAGTTGGTTACACCATCCCTCTGGAGACCTGCTGCTCCTCTGACACTGTTTTGAGGTTTGTTAATGAGCTCTTACTGTGTCTATTTCACTGCCAGCAGTGGACTATCATTTGAATATAATCCACAAATTTCCCCTTTCATTCTTAAATTCTTTCCTTTCCTCTATTCCTTATTAATTGATGGAAGCTCACTGCTGACAAAGGACAGAGCTCATTCTTGATCTAAATAAAGTCGACCAGTTCAAAGGAAATTATGCGCATATCTGTATAGCCTAATATTCAACGACTCTTGTTACGGCGCAGTAACTATTAGTCATTTATTGTCCCAAATGTCAAACAGTCAGTAGTAGAATCCTCCGAAATATTGCAATATTAAACTGGACAAGTGGAGGACAAAAGAGGAAGTGGTAGACCTAAAGATATGTAAATCTTTAAGAAGACCTGCCATAACGCCTGAAAGATGCGTCTGACCCTTAGTCGATACTAAAGGTCAGACGGCAGCCAACATCCAAAGAGGAGCTCTGAATGTCCTTCAAGAAGCCTGGAGAACTGTTTGTGAAGCTAACTTAAAGAAATGACGTGAAAGCTTGACTGAGAGAGTTCAGGGTATGTAGAAGAGTGAAGGTGGTTGCACCAAATATTGACTTTTAACCACATTAGAAATGTACAAACTCTGTTTTTACAGTATCCTATTATCCATTTTCCCAGTAAAATGAGATGTGTATATATAGAGAGAAATGAAAGATGGCTCAGGACTTTTGCACAGTACTGCATCTAATATATCAATGCACACTAAACACTTTTTGCTTTTGAAACTTGTGCTGGGCTTTGCACATGATCTAGTTTTAATCAAGTAAATGTTAGTAATAGAAACGATCATCTCTGAGTGTCATTTCCTACAGTGCCATGTGCAAATGACCCCTATTCTCACTTATTTTATAGAATATGTGCATCATTTTCACAGCATGGTGTAAATTGAAGCGAGCCTTTAATTTCTGAAAGCAGAAGCAGCTGGCGACTAATTGGTGAACGCAGGGGAGGTTTCAGCAGCTAAAGAGCCAGACAATATTTAGGAGTATGACATGGAGAAATGAAAGGGAGCTAAAAGAGGGTAAATACTGGGCTCACCAGTCAGCCAGAGATCCACTTTATATAAAAGATAATATTACTCCAGCTGCTAGATGTTTAAATCAGCAGCAAAAAAATTAAGACTTAAAACTTAAAAGGGTTTTAGCTGTTCCCAAGTGTGTGTGTGTGTTTG